TCTGCCAGTGTGTGACAGTGCTGAAGAGCCCTGATAGCTTTGGAGCACTCCACAGTACTACCTAGGCCTGTTCTGACCGTATGCTTGACTCTCTGCTTGCTTCTTTTACAGCTCTCAGGTGCTGATCCTAGGGGCCTCCTTGATGCTTCCGCACGATAATTTGTTCTGAGCCAACTTCCCAGGGAACTTGACCTAGAGTAAATATCATAACAGGCTTACTCTTATTGTTTATTTGCACAGATTATCCCTGATAAATATGGTTTGATCTACTAGTTTTTAACTTCATAACTGTGAAAACAACACCATTTAGTATAAGACTATACTTCAAATTTTGATTTTGATCAGTTCCCAGGCTAGTGATATGGAGGAAGTCAGTCTCATGAAATGTGCCAATGAACCATAGCTCTCAAACTAGTCATAGGATCGTAAGTGTAAATAATTAACACTCTCTGTGCCAACTTGCTAAAGTGTAATATTCCTACAGATTAAGGGTATGAAATGTATTTCTGACCTGTGGAAGATATTTTCAATGCATATTGGAATTATCAGAACATATCCACAGTTTAAGAAACCTCTATATATGGAATACTCATGTAGGATTTTATGGAAAGCCAATCAAACTGGCTTCACATTTAAATGCTTTACCCAGTAAAGAAAATTATCATTACGGTTTTATATGCAAGATTAATTTACAGTTCATCTTTCAAACTAACATCAAGGGAGTATTATTTTTCCTTTTTCTTCTTAGCTTTATTTGTATGTTACATTTATACACGTATTCTTATGCTTTAGAGCAAAAAATATATTAGCTAATAGAATGTATCATGACTATTTTTTATGTTATGTACCTAAACCCAAGCACACTCATAATAAAAGTGACTGTAACAAACCAGAGAAGGGCTTTCAGTAGATGATGTATATTCTCAAGTAAAGGTAGCATTTTTACATATTACTTTATAGAAGAATAATTTACATTTTCTTAAGTCAACTTATGGAATTAATCAATTCGTGTATATAGACTTTTTATTTCTTTATCTAAATGTTCAGGGAAATTTGAAAGAACTTTTATAACTTTAAAGGTTAAATTAAGAGTTGTGCAAAGATAGCTCAGATTTGCTAAGCACATGAATGCCTGTTCTGGATCTGAAATCATTCCAGAATCTTCATTTACACAACAGCCAAAGCAACAGAAAGAATACACCCAACTTGGAGGCAAAGGGTGAGCTTAACCTTGGTTTTCCTAGCTCTCAACTTAAAGGCCACACACATGGATGGCGGGCTCTGGTCTTCTGCTCCAATTCCAGGAATGAATAGACAGATTCTACTCTGCCTCAGGTGTGCTGTTGCTGTGGCAATTTCCAAACTAACGAGAAGCACATGGTGCTGGGATGCAGAAGAGGCGCTGAGAATGCAGGCTTTGAAAAGAACACTTGTTACTTAACATACAATATTTGGGCTACTCGGCTAAATAGAACAACGAATTTGTTCTGCAGTTTAAAATATAGAGATCAGATATTTGAAAATCCGTGCCTTAAAGTTGTTATTGAAAAAAAAAATACAATTTAGCAGATAAGACCCAATTGAAAAACATTGGTAGAATGAAAGTTTAGTAAACATTATAAAATAGTCTTTCTGGAGAAGTAGTTACTCAACCAATCATGGCATCAAAAATACATTTTCCCTAGAAATGTGAATGTATGGTGGTGACGCCGTATATGTACACAAACAGCAACGGAGTCAAGTGAGTAAATATTAGTGTAATGGACACACACAACCACTCCCTGTATGCACAATGACTATTTTTAGAATCAAAGAATTCTAATGTGTGTTAGCATTCCTTCGAGGCTCCTCCCAACAGTTAACCTGGCAATAGTAGGCCTGGCTTCCTACAAAAGGGGCTGTTTGGCCTCTCCTCTCTCTTACTCTCTCTCTTTTCTCTCCCAGACCCCTTTCTCCCTCTCCCTTCCCCCTCCCCCCGACTCCTTTCTCCCTCTCCCTCTCCCTTCCCCCCACCCTTCCACATGTCCCAGGCCAGCCCTCTTCTCTCCTCTTCAGCCTCCCTCCCTCCCTCCTTCTCTTCCTCATCCCCCCCCCCCCTTTCTCAACCTCCCTTCCCATGTCCTAAATAAACTCTATTGTACACTATACCCATCATATGGCTGGTACCTCAGGGGAAGGGAAGCTTCAGCATAGGCCTACTGAGGCACCCCTACACCTTACCACACTTGGCTCTACAAACATAGCCTGATCTCTTTTTTTATAAAACACAGCAACGTGCAACCAACTGTAGGTCTTCATTCTTCTTTGTTTTCCTTCTCAGAGCTCAGGAAGGAACCCAGGGCTTTGACCAGGCATGGCAAACACTCTACCATAGAGACACAAGCCACCATCCCTGTGCTCCTTTGTTAATGGAGGATGGGGAGAATGGGAAGAAGTTAAGTTGATTTACTCATTTGACAATTATTTTGAGAGCCTATTAAATGCCAGCTCTCCTGGTAGGCACTGGCAATATAACTACAGACACAATAGACACATTCTCTGTCCTTGGGAAGCCTACTCTCTAATGGAAGAAACTGACAGAGGCTGTATTGCATAAGCACTGTTGATGGACTTCTACATTAAAAAGAACACCAAGCACATTGTACACCCAAACTGTACTTAAAAAGGAGAAGTTTGATGATGTTTAAGCTGAGTACCCCATGTGGTTGTTGGCCTGTCTGGCTGGGGCAGGTGTTGGGCTAAAAAGGTAAGTAAGGCACATATGAAGGGCTAGAAGAAAGCATGTCTCTTTCCAGAGACGGATAAAACCATTGAGTGTAGCTGAGTCTGGAGAGGGAGTGGTATAGGAGGAGGAGGAGGTGTGGGAGGACTAGGTTATGAAAGGATGAGTCTGGAGAGGGAGTGGTATAGGAGGAGGAGGAGGTGTGGGAGGATAGATTATGAAAGGAGACATAACTATTATGGAGTATATGCTTTCCCAGACAGCGACAAGAACCCATTCAAAGGTTAAAGTCAAGGAAATCAAAGTCATATTTTAGAAATTTTACTTAACTACAGAATGGGCAATGGAGGTGGGGAGAGCGACGAGGATTCTCACAGGGGAGAATCAGACTGTGAGCGGTGCTGGGAAAGAAGAGATGTAGAAAGATTAAAGACATCATTAGAAACAAAATAGGTAGCTAGACTCGTAATTGGTTATCCATGGGCATTGTGGGAGAGGTAGGGACTGAAGATTGTCCTTACCATTCCTCCTTGGGAGTTGGGGAAGGGAACGCAAAGGGAAAGGTGAGGTCTCTCGTGAACGTGCTAAATTTGAGGATTATTGTAAGCAGTTAAACTGAGGGATCTTTCACCCTGCTCAGTGCCCTCAACTGGAGTTGCAGATGGAGCTGTTAGCATGCAAATAACAACAAACAGATGTGTGGAGGGACAGAGGGCAGGCTGCTGGTCCGACCCCTAAGGAACATCAAAACTTAAGTCTTGGACAGAGAAGCTGTAGTTACAACAGACTAAATCCACCAATGCCAAAGCCTCGACCTGTGTACTTCTGAATTTGTACGTTCTTCCTGGCCAAGTATTTACTAGAGTTTTAACAGGTCTTACAAGTATAATTTGATTTTTTTCTTTTGTTTTCTTTTTAAGGCCAAAAACTGATAATGAAAGTGGTTTCAATAATCTGTAATGAACAAACATTTGTGAAACAAATAGAAGCTATAAGCCAAAGATCTCTGAATTTCTCAATGCAAATTTTTTTTTTTTTTTTCGAGACAGGGTTTCTCTGTGTAGCCCTGGCTGTCCTGGAACTCACTCTGTAGACCAGGCTAGCCTCAAACTCTCGAACTCAGAAATCCACCTGCCTCTGCCTCCCAAGTGCTGGGATTAAAGGTGTGTGCCACCACCGCCCAGCCAATGCCTAAATTTTTTTAAGATTATAAATTTCAACTGGTCTTAAGCCAAAAATTATGACTCTCTCTCCCTGATCTCCTGGCTTGTCTTTTGTGGACTTGCAGCTCACTGGCAACTCAGAAAGATTTTCTCCGATGAAAACTTCAGTCAGACACATACTTCAAAGACAACCGTGCTGCAGCCTCACATGGAAGAGATGCAGAGGTGGTTCTGGGTGGGTAAGTGGGGGCATGCCACACGTGCTTCTCTGGTTTCATAACACTTGTTGTTGTCTTTTCTTTGAAGACTATGGTAGCCATGGAAATGTGGCCTCAAGGATGGCTGATTGGGAATATGCTCAGGTTTTTTTAAACAACTGGCTCTTTAAAAAAAATAGTCCTTCTTTGTAGTGTGTGCCAATTTTTATGATGCAAATATTCTCACCACAGCCAATTTAACCTACCAATGTGATGTCACCAAAGGCAGAAGAACATGTAGTATAGGCTCTTATGAGCCAGTTCATGTGGCTCCTGTGGACAAAGGCACTCTGTTCTCACAAGAATGGTGCTTAACACAGGAAAGTGAGCTGCACAAAATACTGCTCAGTTCAAAGAGAACGGATCTACTGATGTGTGGTCAGGTTGGTTTTAGTTCCTGACTTCTCTGAACACAAGGCTGGCAGCACTGATGCCGCGCCCACCAGCAGTCTGATGACCTTAGCACTCTTAACTGCTACTTTTTGGCTTATAAGGAATCTTTTCACTTATATTTAAAACTGAAATAATTAAGAATCATTTCAAATCTATTTTTATACCATGAACCAAAGAAATTATGTTACACTTCAAGATAACAGTACAATCTGCATTCTAATGTGTGGAATAAGAGAAAATATTTTATAACCAGGTTTTTTTCTATTTTAAGCAAAAACTTTGATGACATACTACATTAATCCATAACGTATGCAGAGGCAAAAACATCAAACACACCCTATTTTTCCTATAATATATATCCACTTATATCAGTGTGCACACGCATAGTGTTGTCAGGGTATTACGTAATACACACTAAGATTCTTTTAAAGCACTTATGACAAGAAGCACGGGTAGAACCAGAGCTGCTATTATGTGCACTGTATCTTTTATTTTGCATCCAAAAAGAAACTGGCTTTCCTGGTGGCACTGGGGAAGAATGTACTCATTAGCATTTTGTGCACTTACGCAAACTTTCATGGATTCTATTGGAACCTTGCAATCCTACTATATAAAAGGAGACCTTTTTCCAAACACCCGGCGGACATTGATACTAAGCTTGCAAAGGTAAACGTAAAAATATTGTAAACACAATAAAAAAACAATGATATAGTACAAACTTTGGTTTTTGAAAAGCCAAATTTTAAGGCCTATGTTTATGTACAACATAGAGATGCACAGTACAGTCTGTGCTCCTGACGTCTGCTGTGCAGGATTACTGATTTCAGAAAGCCAAGTTAAATGTTCTCACTTAAGTCGAATTTTCTGCTTCAGAATTTCTTGCAGAATAATGTTCAAAATTGCATGAGTAAGAACTTTACAAAGCGGCCTAGTAGACACACTTTAAATAAATTAACTAAGCAGGGCTTGTCAAACAAAAATGCCTCACCACATCACTTTTGTATTTAAATTTCTTTGTTCAAAAAGATGACTCTTAGACAAAAGTATAAGATTTCAAGCTTTTTAGCAAAACTGAAAATATCAAAGTCATTTTTCATTTTCAAAATGTATTTAAAGAAATGCTTGTTTTTATAAAACTCCATAGTATACATTAGAGACATGGCTAGCCAACTGGCTTTAATCTTAGAATATTACAAGTGGCTACTGAGTTCTAAATTTAAACAAGTGATTTGATTCTGTACTTCTGTACTCCTTAACACAGATATCAAAGAAAAATTATTTGATTTTTTTCTCAAATAAGACAGAAATCACTCTTTTGGGAGGAAAACTCCATGCCATGACAGAAAATGCATCATTTTACATCTTAGAGTAATTGTTAGAAAAGAACTATAAAATTATGAACTTTTTGGGGAAAAATGCATCGAAAATGTCTCTAGAAAAAACATACAAGCGGCTAGGGACAGGATGGCAGGCACTGCCAGGCATCCGGCCATAGAATTCACAAAAAGAAGTTAGCACCAGAATCATCTCTAACTTTACAATCTCATGAAGGCCCGAGTATAACATATAAAAACTTACATTTAACTCAAAACACCACCACCACCAATAAATATATTATTTTCAGTTTGAACACACTAGCGTTATTACCTTCACAGCACTGCCGTGATAGTGGCAGGTATCAGTTACTTTGTTTTATACTACGCAGAGATAACAGAGACAAATATATCCCCAAAATGGGATTTTTCAACGGGAGGTGCAGGTGCAACAGTTTTCCAATTAAAACTTATTTGTAGGTACATTTCCCCTTTTTCTTTCAACATGTTTTTACTGGAACTTTACAAGAACTATAGCGTTTCACTGCAACTCCATGCCATGCTATTTGCCCAGTCGCTGTTTTGTGATGTTCAGATTTGGCATGGGGAAGTGGTATCTAAAGGTAGGTACAGATCATAGGAGTGAAAAAGATTTGAATAGGCTAATTGATAGTCAAAAATATATATTCATCCTTGTTATAACAAAGAGTTGAGTTTTAAAGAACACTCATTTATAATTTAAATTACAAAATAGCCAGTACACAATATGAAATATGTCAAACTATTTTGGCTTTCAAATAGCCCAAGTGTATAGTTCTATCAGTTACATACATGGCTACCAAATGTCCAGTGTTTTACTGCTGTACATAAATAATGACAAGGCAAAGAACAGAAACTAGTCCAAGGGCTTGCAGGCCCAGGAACCATAGCATAAGCCAAAAGAAAACGACCACTACTGGTTCCACAATTCGCTCTCCGAAATACATCCTTGTGAAGCCCATGTTGAGGAGGTTTTTGTTCAGTTCACCAAAAAGTGTTCCCATCTTTTTGTAGTCATCTCCAATGGGTTCGCCAGAGTGGTTTTGTGGTTCTTCAACATCCTTAAAAAAAAAAAAAAGACAAACGAAGATATGGACATAAGAAACGGAAATATCTCTAATAGCAATGACCTCACTATCTTCTCCAAATAACTGGGCACACACTTCTGGTAGTCATTTAGTAAACACTAATGAAGATGTCCACAACTCATGAGCATACAACCTCACACGGCAAAGGCATCCTGAAGATGCAAGTAAGGCCGTGATTCTGAGAAGGGGCCACCCCAGACTACCTCACCGACTGATCTAACACAAGAACGTTTATAATAGACTATTCAAAAAGGACAGCCACGGGCTCCGGCTCAGCTGCCATGTTCCCACACTAGAGTCTGACACTGGCTGGCCATCTCAGTGGTACCAGCTTGGCTCGGTGCCCACAAGATGTGGGTGTGGCTGCTGCCTCGGCTGGCCTGCTCTCCGGCCTCCACAGCTCTAGGCATGGCACCTGGGCCAACTCCGCCACCCCTACAGCGCTCGGCTTAACTTCAGACAATAACTGCCATCCTCCCAGTAGAAATAAGACTCTTAATGCTTAAAGTTAACCAAACAGATTTATAAAATCAGCAAATACTCAAATCACAAGATGCCCACACCATTTAGAAGGCTATCCCAATATTCCTAACCTTTAGATTTCATATCAACTAATTACTTGATGCCACGCAGGTCCACGTCCGCAGCCATTTTGCCTTCCTCGCTCCCCTCGGCTCTCTGCGTCTTCCTCTCTCTCCTTCTTCCTCTTCCGTTTCCTCTCCCTCTCCCTCTCTCTCTCTCTGCGCCACCCTCTTCCCTGTCTAATCATAGGCCTCTTGCTGCAAATAGATTTGGGCAGGGAAATTTCTGCCACAATAGAGAGTTGGTAAGATGCTGTGTTCCTCGTTGGAAGATGGAGGGAGGAGCCATGAGCAGTGAAAACAGGCAGCCCGTGACACAGGAGGAGAGAAAGGACAGATGTAGTATCTCTGAAAGAAGCATCATATGTTTGAGATCTACGGTCCTGATCTCCAAGAATATAAGATAATAAATTTGTGTCACAGAACAAATTCCCACTGTTCAGACAATGAGAATGTTTCTTTGGATTGACATACTGTTAAGGGGATAATATCTGAAATGTAAATAAATAAAATATTGAATTAAAATAAAAACATTAAAAAAAGAAAAAAATGTTTTCCTTTCTCTCCTCTGAGAACCTGGTTGCAGGGCTCCCTTTCTGCTGTGCTCCTGTTTCATGAAGCAGGCTTCCTGGTCATTCTAACTTAGTGAACCCAAGTGTCTGTGAACTAAAGTTTTGACAGCTCAAGCTCGGCGGGCTGGAGAATGACTAGTTACTGTTCTCAGCCATTGCTGTTGTGATCTCTCATTGTAAGCTTCTGCTAGCTATGAAGGACTATGTGGGGGCTCTTGCATAGCTTCCTGTCAAAACACGATGAGACTGTAAATGCTTCCTGTTAATCTCATCAGAGGAAGCAAAGTTTTGAAGTAGGATTAATTTTATACAAGACCAAAAGTCTATTGAGAAGTCAGAGCCGCAGAAAATCTCCATGTATACTCAACTGTATATTCCAAGAGTATTGTTACTGCCCAATCTTTCGACAATTTTGAACATTATGCTAGTTCCTAATGTTTCCAACCCACTTCTGTGGTTTTAATATTTATTTCTTCAAAAGTTTATGTGTTGAGGGCGTGGTCTTTAGTATGATATCAAGAGGTTAAAGCTTTAATAGGTGGAGCTTAGTGGGAGGTTATGCAAATGGGAGTTTATTTTAAAAATCGATTATTAATTCTTTCAAGAGAACTGTTAGGAGAGGCTTGGACCTTGCCCTGATCAAGCTTTGTCTGGATTCCTGTTCCAGCATGTAGCCATTACTCCTGAGGCTGCATCCTACCTTGAGGCAAGGCAGCCATGGTGGAACACTAATCTGCCTGGATCAGTTCATTCTGATTTTTAGGATCCAAAACCATTAGCTGAATAAAACATGTTTTCTTTTAAGCCTGTCTCTGGTATTTCATGACAGTGATGAAAAATTGACTAATAGAATAACCCCTTGGAATTTTCCAAACATTTCTTAGTTCTGGCTCCTAGTAGGTTCTAACAATAGAAAGACCAGAGAGACACCACACAGATGAAAAGAGAAGGTAATTGGCTTGGATTAATCTTATGTTTATTAGCTCTTCATTCTCTTATGTGTTCCACGATACCTACTGCACATTAAAACATGCAAATTTGTTATTGTCTGATATTAAGCCATTTCCCTCCATAGCAGCATCTGAGGAATCTTTGATTCGGTTTGCAATTGTTCTGGGTCCACATCTTGATTTCTTTAGTGTTTAATAATACTGATACTGTTTTTGGTTTATTTTTAAAGTTAATTTAAAAAAAAAAAACTTTAGAATCAATTGTTATCTATGGACTCACTGTACTTTGGGTTTTGGGTAGTTCTCGAACATTTCTAAGGTTTTTTGTTGATTTGTTCCCCTATATTTTGTGGGTTTAATATGAACAAAGCACCTAGATCAGATACAATAGGTATTTATTTTAATGTCCTTGTAAACTGAATTAAGTCTATGAATGTGCCTGGGGTTTTCAGGAGAAGAAAGTTAGGTGTTACAGCACCTAACTCCAGCAGGGACTTAGTTAATCATGAGTCTAGATTCAGTGACAGCAGACAGCAAAGATCCTGTAGGAGCTACCTTGAGTAGCCACTGAGATGGCAAGGTAGTACAAGTAAATTTTGACAAGCTGTAGTTATTGTAGCCTGATTCTATTAATATATTAGATATTAGATATAAATATTACATATATAAATAGAATATATTACAAACTCAGTATTTCCAAACAAATATAAATATATATTTTTTCAGATACATACACATTGGAGAAAATAAGTACAATGAACAAATACATACATATCACCCAAATTTAATGATTACTAAATTTTGCCACCTCACTATAGTACTGCTCAGTGTGGCCAACTAAGAAAAGGTTACTAGGAAAATGCCCCCCCCAAAACGTGTATTCACAAGTACAGCTCTATGAGAACATTAGATTCATACAATGAACTTCACAGGGGTTCAAACAATTCAAGGATGACACTTTCAAGCAGGGGGAGGAAATGGGCCATGTTGGTAAACCAGCAAGGTCTAGTGGGCCCCAGTCTGAGTTTGTATTTACTGTACTCTGTAGTCTGAGTTTTGGGCTCCTTGTATACACAACCTTCTGAGGTTGTAACCTCCAGGTTGTTGATGTGACTGAAGTTACCCGACTGATTTTGAGATTTTATAGTTTTATTTTACCTATGCCTGGATTATTGTATTATCAACTCCAGAATTTTCATAAGGAAAAGCTATTAAGTTCTTCCTCTTCTTCTTCTCCTTCTCCTCCTTCTCTTCTTTCTCCTTCTTCTCCTCTTCCTCCTCTTTCTCTTCCTCCTCTTTTCTTTCTCCTTCTCTTCCTCTTCTTCTTCCTTGTTTTCTTCTTCCTCCTCCTTTTCTATGTTACATCCTAACCTCAGTTTCTCCTCCCTTCTCTTCTCCTAGTCCCTCCCCCCATTTTCCTCTCCCCAGATCTACTCCTCTTCCAATCCCCTTCAGAAAAGAACAAACCTCCCAGAGATATCATTCAAACAAGGGATAACAAAGTTAACAATAAAACTAGGAACATCCTTTCATATTAAAGCTGGAAAAGGCAACCCATCAGATAGAAAAAGGTCCCCAAAGCAGGCAAAGAGTCAGACAGGCTCTGCTCCCACTGTTAGGTGTCCACAAGAACACCAAGATACACAACCATAACATATATGTAGAGGATCTATCTCAGACCCATACATGCTCCATGATTATCACTTCTCCATTTTCTAAATATGATTTCCTTCAATGATTTTGTTTTGTTTTGAGACAGGGACTTACTATGTAGACCAGGATGACCTCTAACTCATAGACATGTACCTGCTTTTGCCTCCTGAATGCTGGGATTAAAAAAGGTGTGTGTCCAGCTTGGTGTAGTTAAAAAAAATATATCATAAAGCTACTTTGTTTCTTTTGTGTGCCCTTTTATGTTCCCTTTGTCACTAGAGGCTGGCTGAAGAGATACAGGCAGGGTCCCACTGGCCTATTCAGTACACCTATACAGAAAAGAGCTTTGTAAGGGTGCTGGGAGTGAAGAGGAAGAGAGACATTAGAGGACAGATTTCCAGGTGAAATTCTTGCTCTATATCAGACACTGGCATGGAGATTCTAATGCAGCACCATAATGGAGAACAGTGATGGAGTGTGGTGTCACTTAAATGTCAAAACACCTTTCTTATGAAGACACAGTTGATTTTCCTGAATAAATGTTTCTGCATTTGCTATCTCCCTTCAAAATGACTCCAGACACTTTAAGCTGTTGTATTTAGTGTTTTACCAGTCAGCTATTGCCTTGCAGGGGAGATTTGATGAATTCCTTATTGTTCCAGAAGACTAATACTGGTCACTTGTGGGTATTAGTTACATCTGTGAGCAAATTGAAGGGCAAGTTTTCTAAGGCTGAGCCAGAGGATTTTAGATGGCTGAAAATTAAGTGCTCTGAAATCAGTCTGGAATTTTAAGCAATCTGAGAGTGTTTATTATTTTTAATAGCATAGGATGATCAAATTTTGGGGATAACTATTTGACTTTTGAGAATCCATATAGTCAGATAGCTCTTAGTTCTTCTATTAGCACTTTAAAAATGGTCCTCAAAGGTTCCTCTTTTCTCCTTCCTTGTTATTTCTCACATATACTATTTTTCTTAATATTTATTTTATGTATATGAGCACCCAGTCTTCATGCACACCAGGAGAGGGCATCAGGTCCCATTACAAATGGTTGTAAGTCACCAAGTGGTTGCTCAAATTGAACTCAGAACCCTGAAAGAGCAGCCAGTGCTCTTAACCGCTGAGCCATCTCTCCAGCCCCCTCTAACACATACTATTAAATGGGCAACTTTACCATTTCTGCTCTGTAGATTCTGCCACATTCTTTAGCCAGTA